TATCGTTCCACAACCACCGTATTCACCTGATTTGGCACCGTGCGACTTCTGGCTGTTCAACAAGCTCAAAAGACCGCTCCGGGGACACCGTTTTGAGACGGTAGAGCAGATTGAAGCCGCAGCGAAGACGGAGCTGAGGGCCATCCCTGAAGTCGACTTTTTCAACTGTTTCGAAGATTGGAAAATCCGTTGGCATAAGTGCATTGTATCGGGAGGGGATTACTTTGAAGGCGATGAAATTGATTTGGAAGAATAAATAAAGAATTTTCAAAATAAATGCAATGTCACCTTACTTTTTGGACACAGTAGTATATTGAATTTTATCGTTTAATATCGACCATAAACGTTTAATGTGCTGACGTCATTGCCGATTCAAAAATGCTGGAAGTGGGTTTTGGTGGATCCTCAGGATCGTTTAGTACTGCTCCCGGTTCTGGAAGTGGATCCTCAGGATGGGCCAGGGCATTGTCAAACCCAGTCTGGTCCATCCTGAAGATCCACCAAAACCCACTTCCAGAATCGGGAGCAGTTCTGACGATCCTGAGGATGCACCAAAACCTGCTTCTAGAACAGTATGCATTCGTTAAAGCGAAAAAATTACTGCAAAAATCGGACAAAATCGACCAAAATGTGATATGATCGGAATTTATTTGTTTAAATGATAAAAAAATGTTAAAGTCGGTCATTGTTGGTTATTTTTAAAACCGTGGTTAGCCCCTAGTATTAAATTGTTTACCTATCCATGCCATGTTGGAAGAAAATTACCGGAAATTTTTCGCTGGGCGTTAGATCTATGCAAAAAAATTCATCTTTTCAACTGTTTTCGTTTCTCATTCGTTGATAATTCAACAGGCAATTATTAACGTTGTTTGCAAACATTTTGAGCCAAATTGAATTGCATTGTGAACACCAAATCATGATTCAATTGGTTGGCCTTTGACATGTTTTTTTCTTCATCAAATTTTATTTAAAATTTATTTTTATGAACATTTGGCGATTTTAACTTATCATCGTTATGAAATGTTGCAAATGTTTTATTTGTAATCAAAGCCAATTCATAGAAAACTGAGATGAGATGATAATAAGGCTTCAAGCCAAATTATGAACACTACGCTACGTGGTATGGTAATGAACACACTTCAATATATAGCGGAAAAATCTATACTTTTATCGCAACACATCAATTATGCCAGATGAGTGATTTGTGGAAAGAGATAGCAAAAGTCAACTGAAGAATCGTTCAATTGCTTGTTCATCTTATGGATTTGTCGCTTCTATTCGAACCATTGGATGTGTATCCGTATGGACGTTAAATTTCATCAGAGCGATGATGAGCTTTGAAGAATTTCACTAAATCAGAATTGAAATTTAATTAAAGCGGATTAAACAGATTGGCGTTTGTGATGCTTACTCCGAAGCAGAGTCAAGCGTGAGCTATTTTCTCGCGGCTCCATTGATTTAAACCTATTCGTTCTACCGAAGTATCAAACATCAATTTCCTTCAATTGATGCGAAAATTTTCGTTTGAATTCTATAAATAAACAAGCCATTGATTCATATTTTTTGTTTATAAAATTCCAAGTGTAATATTAAAAGTACGAAGCTATACTGTGCTTTGTTTAGCTCGGCTTTAATAATAATAATAATAATTGGGCAGCTTGCCATCAGTGTACGAGAAGTATTGTGATTTCGAATAAGAAAAATTTTATGACAGAAAGCAAGCATGAGCTAAAAATAAGTGAATTTGCATTGCGTGTTTCCTCGTGAGTATTCATGTTTAACGATTAAATTTAAAAAAAAAAACACAATTTCCTCCTACATATTGCATCAAAAGGAACTCATTTTTCATTTTATGAAGATTACACAAGAACGGACATATCGCCTTATATAGATATCTGCTTGCCAAATAATATTAATTACAAACTACGTTGACTTGACACCGAATAACTAGTAATTTACTTACCACTTGTTGGATTCACGTATAGCGTATGAAAAACAGAATGAAAGAATTCTTTACAGTGTTAAGAATTTAGATTTGACTCATACAATGGTAAATTTATTTACAAAAGATTTCTTCTTAATAAAATTTGGAACAAACATTATAGCTTGAGTTATCTTTCGATCGCTTTTTTGATGTTGATGTTGTGATATTGTCATAAACAGATCAATAATAAAATGACATATTGATACGAACAATGTGGCGTTAGTAATGTACTTAGAAACATTTGCGGTGAACAATTCCTGGACCGCTTTCGTCGTATTCTTCCTTTGAGATCCACATTTGTTGGAAAGTGGACAATGAGGCCAAGATGGAACCACCGATCCAGACGGAGTATTTACGCTCTGGTGGGGCGATGATCTTGATCTTGATGGTTGATGGAGCCAATGAGGTGATTTCTTTTTGCATACGATCAGCAATACCTGGATACATGGTGGTACCACCGGACATGACAATGTTGGCGTACAAGTCCTT